CTAAAAAAGCCCTTTCTTTTTCTTTGCTGTTTCGATCGTAGTCAGAGTTGTATAAGTTATCTTTTGTTCTTACGATGATCGTTAAAAATTTTTTGTAGCCCATTAATTGTTTGCTTCCTTGTCTTGTGTAAATGTTGACACTGTGTAAAATTCGCAAAAATGAACTATAAAAGTTAAATTTTATGATTTAATTTTTTTTTTCTTAGCTAACAGTTAGGTTTCTCTACTTTGAACTTATTATAAAATTCATACACATTACCCTAGAAATATTTTTGTGACTTTTCTTAATTTCACAAATGATAATTTTTTTAAATTTTTTAAAAAATAAAGTATAATATAATAAAATATATAAATATTAATTAGAATAAATATAATAACAATAAACTTAAATTAATCACTTACAAATAACACAAAACGCGATAACGATTGGTCGATTTAAATTTTTAAATTAAAAAAAAACCGTCATTAAATTTTGCACGTCGGTTACGAACTTGTTATATACGTTTTTCCTATTTTAAAAACAAATATAAATAAATAAATTAATGAATAAGTAAAAAAAATAATATCGTATTTAAGTTGTTAATTTTTCACTTTTTGTATTCGTTTTTTATTTGGGCAAAAAACAGCCACAAAAGGCATAGCATGTTACTATCCAAGCATAATATTTGTGGAGTCTGTTCCATGCTTGTTGTTCCACACTCTAAGGGCCTGAGAAATTGGCTCAATCCAGGAGACATCACGTAGCCTTTCTGACTGGACCAATCAGTTGATGGCATGACACAAAAGCTTACATCTAAGTCAGATGGATTTGCAAGAAACTTTTGCAGTCTACTTTAAAGGGAATAGAAGGAAATTCTGCATATAATCTCAAACAACTGAATATTTTATCATAATTATTTTCATTTTAAGCTAAAATATTTTACCAGAAATAATTTTACATACCCAAAAAAAATACATGTATATGAATATATTAATCGTTGTCGGTGGTATGAGATTAGGAAGTTTAGTTATGGAGTTAGCGAATCGTGCGTGCATCTGTATTAAAAAGTAAATAAAAATTGTTATAGAGAAGTCGAAAAAATGTTCATAGTTCATCGCATGGCAAGAAGGCGCGATATTTTAAATTGAAACTGGAATTAAGCGACTTAAGAGAAGTTGATTTCTGTTATTTCTTCTTCTCTCTTGCGGTATAAAATCCGCATATCGAACATTCAAATACTAAAATCTCTTCTGGATGAGTAAAATAATTATTTTTTAACAGTAACAAATGCATTGTTTCAATTATAAAATTTCAAAAAATATGTTTTTGTTTATTAGAAAAAAAAAATTCCATAAATTAAATCATTCAATTTCTTAAAAGTAATTCAATTTCTTCTACCATTTTTCTTATTGTTTTTTTCTTATAACGGAGGGGAAAAGAAACTCAAACGATTCGAAGAATTTTAGTTATTTAATTTCTATTTTTTATTTTTTTATTTAATTTTTTTTAAATATATAACCTTTAAAAAATACCGCCTTTAACAGAAACAACTTTTCATTAGAGATGACGTAATGTTGTGACGTAGAAACGATACCAGTCACTTCCGGTTCCTGTACTCGTCAGGCGGAAGTCAGACACAAATCACGTGGGATCCCATTTCCGTCTGAGTTCTGGAAACTTGCCAAGTGATGAAACTCATGCTTCACTTTTTTTTCTTCCTTTTATTTTTCAAAAGATAAAAAGAAATTTTCTCGGATTAAATATTCGAAATTGAACTTCTTCCTTACTATTTACTATTTACAGAGAGAGAGAGAGAGAGAGGGAGGAAAAAAAAGGAAAATAAGTCCTATTTAATTATACCATTTTAATTTAAAATTTTAAATAATTTTAATATAAGATAATTAAAAAATTAATTAGTGACATCCAGATAGTTCCTTTCTCTCTCCCTGTCTTTGTGATAAAGTTCGACATTGTTAATTTTGTTGAATAAATTAATTGATGAAGGTAGATATTATAACCTTCGTGTTTTATTATAACAAAAATGACAAAAATGTCAATGGAATTTTTACAAATTTTATCAATAAGAAAACAAAATAAAACCTTTTTTTCAAAGATATTCTTGAAATATTATAAATTATAATAATAAAAATAATTTAGTTTTNAAAAATTTTTAATAATAAATTATTGTTATATTAAAATTATTTCTTATTTCAGTAATGCTAAATATAAATTAAAATATCGATTAAAGGTTATATTACTGTTAATAATAGCTTAAAAATTAAATTAAAATGAAAATTTAATATATATATTTTTTTAAAATTTAAAAACAATAATTTAATTTTATAGCTTAAACAGCTGTAGATACAAATTATTGTTTGTTTTTTTTAAATAAATTTTATCAAGGATTCTCATTCTATATTATATGTCAACCACTTCCTATCCTGATATAAAACAAGAATAAATTAATAACATTTTTTATTAATATAAAACAAAATTAATTTAAAGATATATCAATTATTATTTGTCTATTGACCCCTTAGAGTGGCCAGCGACTAGATCTGGAACCCCGAATTCTATTAATATTTATCCATGAAAATAATAAATTAAATGATTTTTTTAAATAAATAAATTTAAAAAAATAAAGCGTTAAAAACAAATTTTAATAATAAAATCTGCAAGAACAAACTAAATGGAAGTGATTGAATCTATTAGATCGGTAAATTCGCAATATACAACCATTTCGGTAATTAAAGCAGATTGTGTGAGCCGTAAAGAGCAAGGTGTGGTTTTGACTTGGTTTCTAGTCATAAAACCATCCGAAGCGAATTACTATCATTGTAAGTCAATGAAAGATGTCCAACTTAATTACACGTGTAAGACGAGCATCGAGATTTCTTTAATTAAATTAAATCCTGGATAGGAAAGGCACTCCTCCGTTTTAAATTATATTAGTTCTTTATTACGAAACTTTTTTTTTTTTGAAGTAAAAATAAAAATTTCAATACCGCTCTTTAATTATTATTGAAGTTTTGTTGAAGTCGAGTGAAACTAAAAAGTGTTTGTTTGTCTTCTTCTAAATATTTTTGGATCATATTTCTTCATATTGTTTATGAAATTTCCGAGCTTGATAGAAAACATGTTCGTCCGGAATATATTTTAATATAGTTTTTTATTATTATTATTGTAGAATAAAACAATCTTTGAGGTTATCTCCAATAAAAGCGTTGAAACGAAGAAGAATATATTCAAATATGACTGGAAATGAATTAGCGCATTATCCTATGAACAAAAAAGGCAATTTCATCGGGCACCCACCAATAGGGGTCCCAAACCAATCTTTTTAAACTCATTGATGTAGTAGGAATATCGAAATTGAAATTTAAATCTAGATTGCTGATGCATGGCACACTGGGAGGAGGGGATTCTCCCCAAGAAATTAGTCCAAAGCAAAATGTCCGAAGTCAACAATCCACATGGGTCCCCTAATTCAAATTTACCTGGATCCATAAAGCTATAACTCTTCACTGCGGAAGTGGATTGACAAGAAGGTAATTTGAGCCATTTTACAGAACATTTTTGGTGTAAAGAAGAAGAATTAATTATTATATAGGTCTAGGGCTTGGTATATACGTATATAAATACAAGAGAGTTATCCTTCTATTGATTACAGGTTCCTATTCCTATATTAAAAGCTCCATAACAACTCCCAATTGTGCTAATTTATGTTTTACCGGTAGTACTGTAAAACAAGACTGATAAGCACATATTGACTTTGTTTTGTGTACAGTTTAAAGGCTGTACACGGAGACAGATGAAGAAGAAAGAATAATGAGTTTAGGAGCCCATAAAAAGAAGGTAGGGTTGGCATTTTAGGTCAAGTTATTGCCTGTAATAAGTAAATTGTTTATATCTCATCTTTGACATTTTCCTATTAAAGATAAATATACTTCGGCGAATTTAAAAGAAAATAAAAGTAGAATTATTAGATTATGAACCAAGGGCCCTCAATAAAATCCGCTATAGACCGATTGCCCTTTAACATTATTCTAATGACTTACAAATATCCCAAGAGGCACGCTTCTGGTAAATATAATTTATGAAGTTTTATAATAATTTTCCATAAAATTTTATTAAAAATAACCGAATTAATATTTATTTTGAAAATAATTTTATAATCAATATGCTTACAAAACACCGCAAAAAGTTTTAATAAGAAACCCGAATTATAAACTTTCCCTAATGGAAACCCTTAAGAATAATTTTATATTATAAAATATTAAAAAGAAAACTGGAAAAATAATTTTCCTAAGATTTATTTTGAGACATTTTTAAAATTAACGAAAATAAAAACGATGGGTAATTCCCTTAATAATATAGAATTATCGTCATATAATAAGTACTAAATTAGCCTAAAGCCTATTTTACTATATATAACATAATATGTGTAATATTTAAATAGTAATTTGAGGAATTGCTGTTTGGAAATTTTATTGGAGAGCAGCGTATATTTTTAGAAAAGAACTTAATTGTTATTCGCTGTACAAAATAGGAAAACCCTCATTTTAACAGAATCATGGCAAGGTCATAAAGAGTAAAAACAAAACAAGGTAATTAAAAAGATCAAAAAAGTATTTTTAAATATAAAAATATAAAGAAAATAACCTTAAATTATTATTAAAAGTCGTTATTTAAGACATAATAATAGTACGTGTAACTCGCTATAATATAAACTACAACTTATTCATTTAATTATTATTTATTCCCTTTTATTAAGTGAATGGCGCGTGTTCATGTGTTATTTACTAAAGTATTTTTATTTTTCTTTAAAATAAAGTTTAATTGTTAATAAACATATTTGTATAAAAAATTCGAGGCATGTTATTTAATTCGCGGAATTAGATTCTTATCTAATACTTGTAACGAATGAATGAATGTAGTGAAGTAAGGACAAGTTGCTACACAGGCAACACCTACGCGGAAGATGGCGTCTTGGCTAACGTATGAATCACATTTCCTTAGAAAAGGGCTGGCATTGTGCACGTTGTTGTGTGTGTGGGAAGGAATTCTGGGCGCCACACTGCCCAGCGTCTCAACCACAACCAGTTTAGTCCACGTGGGGTACACACTTCCAGTGCGCCTTAGCAACAAGTCATGCATTTACCCTATGATCGAATAGTTTCTAAAGACATGACCGACTATCTTTTGTCGGGGGAACGTGCTTTGAGTGAAGTGCTTAGCGAACATCCTGGTGAATTAGTTAGGACAGGAAGCCCAAATCTCGTATGTTCAGTGTTGCCATCTCACTGGAGATCTAACAAAACTCTACCTGTGGTCTTTAAGGTTGTAGCCTTAGGAGAAGTGACTGATGGTACCCTTGTTACGATCAGGGCAGGAAACGACGAAAACTTTTGCGGAGAATTAAAAAATGCCTCCGCTGTTATGAAAAATCAAGTAGCCAAGTTTAACGATCTGAGATTTGTAGGAAGAAGCGGAAGAGGTGAGTTTTTCCACTTACTCATAACTAAATTCAGTTAACGAATTAAAATTAGTTCCCTAATCGGAACCGTGCAGTATAACGTCAGTTAAAAACGGGTAGACAGTCCGCAGTTCTAATTGATAAGCTCATGTTTTTTTTTTTTTCTTTTTGAACCAAAATACGAGGAAAGTTTTCACTCTAAATAATATTATATTATCCTTAATTGCATTATAAGAGGAAGAATAATCGTTACAAAGCGAGAAGGTGACCTTAAAAATATATTTTGTTGTAGCAAGGTCATTAATCGATAAATATATTGCTAAATATAATAGATAGTATGTCTAATTTCGGTGTAGAAAGTAAAAAAAAAAAAAAAAAAAAGCTTCAATTTTGGAGCGTAAACAAATTTTTCCATCCGTTATATGATAGAATATAATAAATTACTTTACCCCGATCCGGTGTAATATAAAATAAAAATAAAAAGGACGGTGTGAGAAGCAAAAAAGCAAAGACTACTTTGTTGTTATTGGGTCAACTGTCCAAAGCAAACTTGGTGACACGTTTCTGTACTCTTCGTAAAAACACGTGTGAGAAGGGAAGCTAAAAATAAAAAAAAAAAAGCAAAAAAGAAATAAATGACGAGCAATCTAAATCACTTTAAATCGAAAATTTCGTTCGATAAAGAATGATTCTATTCTGAACATTGAAGTTTTGTGTAACTTGCACTCGAGGTTACTTAACATGCGTTGCGTCGACTCTCGCAAGTCATTAAAGTGTGGTGACTTAGATTAAACCGAATGGTTGATTATATGTCAACAGGCTAGGACGTAGCTGCTTGTTTTATGAAAATTTTCTCTTGTATAGTGTATAACTAACAGCGTGTAGTCAATCATTTTTAATTGCTACTTTCATATGATGTCTCGACAGGTTTCCCGCAAGACTCGACCAGACGAGGAAAAAATAACTAAAATTTACTTTTCTCTTCTTAAAGTAGTATTTACTTCGTTCGATAAACAAGTAGTTTTCTTCTTCTCTTTTTCTTTTTTAAAAAAATAATAGATTATTGTTGAAAAATTCGGTTTGTTTATCGATTTTTTAATTCGTTTGGTGTGAACCGTGATACACCATATTCTGGTTGATGCGGTTGGTTTAAAATATTCTTTGGTTTAATTAAGTTTGATTTGAAAGCGAATCGAGGCTTTGTGGTTAATTTATGTAAATGTGTAATTATGTTTTATACGCCTTTAAGTGGGGCGTATATATATATATTTTTTTTTTACTTACGCTAAGTGGAGAAATTATTTTACATGTGAAAGGATGTAGGGTTTGATGTAGCGCCATCTCGTATAGTAAAGGTTAAATTCATCTGATTGTTATCACTACTAAAACCTGGAACGATACTTTTTCCTTATGAATAATAGTAGAAAAAATTAATTTAAACAGCATTTTTCGCTTTCTTCTATTATAAGAATCGCCAGATCAACTCCACAATCGCGGAGTGTGAATGGTTTTTGGAGTTATTAACTCCAAGATTCGAGGAAGGTAAGAATTGGTAGTGTTAATTTTTTAAGTTTTTACTTCGTTTGTGACTCAAAAATGCAATAATTTTTACGAGGAAATTACAATTTGAGTTGCGTAACAAAGGAATAAAGCACGCGATTAGTGCTGAATTGCTAGAAAGTAATATATAAGAAAAAGAAGAAAAAAGGGCATTCAACCGACGTTTCTTAAGATGGCTGGAATAATAAAAAAAATAATCACAAAGTAAGTTTTGATTGGTGATTGTACCCCCGAAACCCTTCCAACTTTTCCAACACAAATAGCTGTTACATTTCCATCGCTTTTGCAATTCTTTCCTTGTCCAAATAGGGGGAGAAGAACTTATCAACAAAAGGAAAAACCTCTTTTCACATGGAACATTAACACTGTGCATTAACGCCAGCAACCTTACCTCTTCGGGTTGTATGCATAGGCGGCTGTGCTTCAGCAAAGGGTGCTGCTCATTCATGCATACAGCCGACTTGACAAGGGGCGTTGTCTTTGTCACCGAGTCTAATGTGACATTAGTATGGTTAGCATTTTTGCCAAAAACCCGAATGAGCGGTGAAAAAACAGAGACGCATTAATGGCTTTCTGTACCTACTCATGCATGCAAAATCAGCGAAGTGGTTGTAGTTGAAGCGAAAACGAGGTTTCTACTGTCTTTACAACGGATCCGTTGCTACTGAGCAATGACTGCCTTTCTCCCCCCCGTCGCCCCTCTGTCCGTTCATTTGCACTCTGAGAACTGATTACTGAAGTACCGTGGAGGTGTGAAAGTTTTTCACGAATTTTTTTGCCATTAAACATAAAGGAAAACTTGTTAAAAGCTTTTCCGCTCCGATTTTAGAACACGTTTCTTCCTATTTTGCAATAGTTGGATGATGAATTAGTTTGAGAACTAAAGCATCTGTCGTTTAAAAAGTAGAATTAAAGGGATACAAAATCTGTGATTTCTCCTTGTTTAATCATCATTAGATATAAATTATACTACTTATTCCCTGTTTAACTTAACTATGCGCAGAAGTATGACCAGAATTAATCATTTGTTATGCTGCTGTCGGAAGAACTTAAATAATAATTTATCACCGAGAGTATTTTTATCCAAAGATTAATGAATGAAGCCAGACATACAGTGTCAGCATTAAACTAATGGACCTTAATGAACGCAATTTTTAAAACATTCCTTTGTATTTCTGCTTGCTTTTAATTTCCTCGATTCATTTCGTAAACCAGAAATGCAACTTAAGTTTTTCCGAGATAAAAACATAAAGTATGAACCGATCAATCCTAACAAACTAACGAATTAAACAATTACGTTCTCCTAAGTATATCTAATCTAGAGCCCTTCATAGGGCCTTATAAGTATAAAAGCCCTTAATCTATATTAATTATAATTTAAAAATAACAAGATGTGCTTCAAAGAATCTATTTTGTGCGAAAAATAACTGAATATTCTACATACAAAATTCAATTTATCCACTTTTTTAAAATAAATAAAGCATATTTATAGCTTATTAATAAAATTTACGAGATTTCCTCTATACAGGCCTATCAAAATACACATTTTATCTCAATTTTAATTAAAAAATTACTTAATATTATGATAAATATTGATATTTTCTGTTAAATTTTAAAATTTATTAAAAGACTAATATAATTTTTAACAGGTAAAAGTTTCACGTTGACTATAACAGTCAGCACCAGCCCACCTCAAGTGGCAACATACTGCAAAGCTATTAAAGTAACAGTTGATGGTCCTAGAGTACCACGTAACAAGACTCGTAAGTACATCTTGTGTTTTCTGATACTAAGCCACATCCGCTGGTTAAAGATCACTGTTTTCTTTTTTGTTTTTATAAAGCAAAAATGAATCATCTCTATCGAGTTTCTGCCTCACACTTCGCATTTTACTTCCTGTCAATTATCGAACTACGAGATGCTTATAACGAAATGATGCACGTTTCTTATGCAATCTTGTTCTCTGTTTTTTTAAAAAAATACCCGAAATAACGTTGCGTTAACATCATTTAACGTTCGTTCTAAATTCAATTATTAATTTATTCTTAGAAAAAAGACAATCCTCTAAAGAATCATATTTCGAAAGAGGGTTTTATAAAAAATATATCCAGGAAGTGATTCACACTTTTATAAAGTTATTTAGAGATAACGATTTAATGAATCACGTCAAGAGCAGGTGTAAAATAAATCATGCAAATCTTAGAAGATTCGTTTAAAAAAAATAATGAATGTATATTCTCGGGACCGGATTTACACGTAATCTTAGGGCATCGCATAGTTTAAGGCCTCTGTATTTGATAGAGGCGAGGGCCATACAGTGACGCGTTATCCTATGGGCAAAGGGCAATTGCCTGAATTCCCATCAACGGGGACTTCCAAACCAATCTTTTATAAGAAAATATTTCTTCAAAAACTTCTCCCGAAGAAAATATCTGAAGTCAACGGTATACTGTACAGTACATGGGGGCCCCTTGAAGATATAACGCGCCACTAGGGCCATAAAGCCTAATTCCAGCTTTGTATATTCTAATTACACTTTTAATTACAGGGCAACAACGTCTTCGAACTTTTTCCAGCGCTTTCGGACAACGTTCTCCATTCTTAGATATTCCCGATCCTCTTCGCGATTGGGATCAACGATGTAGAAAACCCTCCGAACAGTGGTCTTTAGAAATTCCAAGATGTTTACCGGGACCTAATCAAGGTAAGAATTTCATATATTCATCTAAATATCGCATGCTTTGCGGTCAGAATAAAAAAAATACCTTTAAGTGATATCATTCCGGCCTTCGAGGTAGTTTTGACCTTGCCAGGTATGTGGTTTCTAAGAACATGGAACGAGTTCTGGAATCGTTTAACGATCGGAAATTCAAAATTAAGATTTTTTTTTTTTTCCAAAGCATCAGCTAAGGAAATACTTAAGAATTATAAAAATTATTGATTCATAAGAATGGGAAATTACAATACAACTATAAATAGAATATTTAGTGACGTTATATCAATAATTTATTGAATTAAATAATATATTTTTAACTGTTGTAACAGAAGAAAAATTCATTTATTTTGCCGATTTTTAATTAAATATTATCATCAATATAAAATCTATATTACTGAAGCATCTTAATCCATGATAAATTGAAAATGTGGTAATTATTCACATCGATTTATCAAAAATTTGGCCAAAAATTAAACAGATTTAACGATTATCTAATAAAGTGTGAAGTTTTAACTCCTCAGTACAGAAAATACAAGGAAAATAACATTAGTACGTGTGAATGAGAACAAGTATTAACACTATAAAAATGTAATGAATCAGCAGGGCCGTCGAGAGGGGGAAGCTGGGGATTTTTCCTTGATCCAGGGGAAAACTGGGGGCCTGTCGTGGTTCTTACCCTATAAAATTAATGTTATTTTTTTTAAAATAGAAAATAAAATCTTTAAGACTGCTTTTTATTAATAAAGGAACATTATAATTATGTTATTTGTACAAAAAAAGATGACTAAAGTAGCCGGCTAAATGGAGAAAGGGGCCCACAATACTAGGGCCCCATATCCATCAGATCCATAATTTCGGTACTGGCAAGTTCTGCAATTCATTAACAATCCCAAATTACTGGTTCTAAACAACAGATAATAATAAAAAAATGACTGGTTTAAACGAAAGGAAATCGTAAACAAGTCTAACGCATTGAATTAATTTAGGAATGGGTGCTAATTAATACAGAAAACAGTGAAATAAACTGAGTTTAATGTTTAAAAGGTATAAAAAATATATTGTATTATCGATCGGTTTTATAAGAAGAGAAGTAACGGCGTTTTAAGTGTGAATGGGGTTGCAGGCCCGTTGCAACACTTCAAATTCAGCACGGGTTTGGGTAAAACTCGTAACCTAACCCACTAATGATCACAAATTCCAGTCACAGTCACCAAGAAAGAGGAAACTTTTGCGCATGCCCAGCTCGATCTCATTTCCTCGACGATGCAGAGATTTGAAGTCATTGGGGAGAGACCACTGTTATAAGCCACACGTAGAAGTCTCCAATAATTATCGAGCAAGGGGAAGAAGGTGCTCGCTAAATCTCATTTGGCCTGTAATTAAACGATGTGATAAATGAGGTTGGTGAGGAAAGTTTGGTGAAACAACGCACTTGTCTGATCACTGGACACAGGGAATGCGTCATCATACTCTCTCTCCATTTTCCTCCAACTTTCTTAGTCATTTATTCAGGACAATGATAGCTAATAAGCTTTTAATAAAAATTTTTTACGTTTTTTTCTCAATAAAAATTCGTTTTATTATTTATTTATTTTTCAGATCTCTCGCAAAATTCGGAATCTCGTTGGAACTCCTATACTAACAGTTACTTGCCGACAACAGCGAGTAGCGAATTAAATCCTTCCGTGACGTACGCGTTAAAAACTAGTTTAACCGAAACAACGTCGTTTTCCTATACACCAGGCACGTGATATTAATTTTATTAAAGCATTTACGCATCCTTTAATAAATCTAATTAATAATTACCATTTTATTACAGCTTTTATGGAAACGAGCCCGTCCTACTTTACTGAGTTTGCCACCTCGTCAAGTACGTCTTTAGACAGCTTGAACGTGTCACAAGCGGCGAAACCGTCCACAAATTACGGACAGACTGATTGTTTTACAAACTATACACCAAATTCTCAATACGTCTCGTCTACTCCTCCATCGTATAATCTCTTCCCGTCTCATAATTACCATACTTCATCAAGTTATACAACTTTAACATCGCCGGTTACGTCATCATCCCTCATATATCCTCAATTATATAACCATTCTTCTGTACATCTCTTGGGGACACCCGAAACTGGTGTGACGTCCTCGCAGACTATATCTAGCCCCAATTTATATAATTACGGTATTAATCCGGCGCAAGATAATCCGTCCGATAATTCAGTATGGAGGCCATATTAATAATATAATTAAATACTCATTTTTTTAAATAATCGATTGTATCACCTTTACATATCATAATTATGAAACGTTGAATGTGTTCTTTTATTTTTTAATGAATGTTATATTCGAGTTACGCACAAGTTGACTTAACTCTCCACAGCTTCAACGTGTGTTCGAGTTACAAATGCATTTATATTCATAGAATCTCTTTTTAAAAAGTACGAAATAAATGTTGATTTATGCTTTAATCTTATTGTTTATGGTGTTATATTCATCGAAGTTATCATTGTTTTACTTTCCTGTATGTTAACAAAGGGAAAGTGTGGCGTTCGGTCAAAAAATCACCCGCAAAATTTTACATTTTTAGACCTTAAACGGCCAGAAATACAAAAAAGTTGGATTTTTTCTGTGTATGAATGTTAGTGTGTGTGTGTGTGTGTGTGTGTGTGTAAGTATGTATGTGAGTGAGGGGCATGATTTTTTTTCACCCATTTTGAAGCTTAATAACTCCTGTGTATTTTGATGAAATTTTCTGAAATTTTGCAGGGAGGTTTGTGTATTAGGGGAAAATGTTTCTAAATATTTTCAGGAAAATCGGGTCATTGGTCCGGGAGATATGGCCCCCACCACCTTAATATCTCCCAGACCAATCTGAAGACTTAAAGGTAACGGTGGTAATTATTAGGGATGAAAACAAATGAAGAAAGTCTAACAACAAAGTTATCATCTTTTTACGTTTTAATTTAACGCTCCTTCTATATAAAGATGCTATTACGGGGTATTAAAACTTCGTCCTTGATCGTTAATACAACAAAATAAGTTGAAACTTCGAAGTTTTAACTAGTTTAAAAAGTTTTCTACCGGGTCGATGTAGAAAACAGGTAAAATCTGCATCGACTCCGACTCTTATGATTAAATGCCACAAGTTTCGTTCATCTTAAGCACTGTTTATTGAGCCACATAGATTTATGGATACCAGATGGGCTGGTAATAAATACCATCTAATTAATACATGGTGAAAGGCTGGACAGAAAGATGGATGGTGGTCGGTGTCTGAGTCGAATGCATACAAGTTTGTCGCTTGCGTCACTTTTTGAGACAGATAGCCAATCAACCTGTCTAATTTGATGACTAAAGGAACCATTTTAGAAGCCTGCACGTTAATATTAACTTGACTTTTACCTTATCATTTCCCCCTTCTCCCTTACAACCGAGCAGGGAGCCGTATCTGCGATTAAATCTAACACCATTTTTTCTTAAAAAAAAAGAAAAAAAAACTAATGGTAAAATATACATTCACCATAATTCAACCATCCATAAAGGCTAGAAAAAAATTCACTTAATATCATTAATTCATCAGCTTAAACATATACAAGCTAACTAAAGGAGGGTGATACTTTTCTATAAGAGAAAAATTGTGAAAAAAATAATAAATGATAATAAAAATTGAATAATACACATTNACTTGTTATATACGTTTTTCCTATTTTAAAAACAAATATAAATAAATAAATTAATGAATAAGTAAAAAAAATAATATCGTATTTAAGTTGTTAATTTTTCACTTTTTGTATTCGTTTTTTATTTGGGCAAAAAACAGCCACAAAAGGCATAGCATGTTACTATCCAAGCATAATATTTGTGGAGTCTGTTCCATGCTTGTTGTTCCACACTCTAAGGGCCTGAGAAATTGGCTCAATCCAGGAGACATCACGTAGCCTTTCTGACTGGACCAATCAGTTGATGGCATGACACAAAAGCTTACATCTAAGTCAGATGGATTTGCAAGAAACTTTTGCAGTCTACTTTAAAGGGAATAGAAGGAAATTCTGCATATAATCTCAAACAACTGAATATTTTATCATAATTATTTTCATTTTAAGCTAAAATATTTTACCAGAAATAATTTTACATACCCAAAAAAAATACATGTATATGAATATATTAATCGTTGTCGGTGGTATGAGATTAGGAAGTTTAGTTATGGAGTTAGCGAATCGTGCGTGCATCTGTATTAAAAAGTAAATAAAAATTGTTATAGAGAAGTCGAAAAAATGTTCATAGTTCATCGCATGGCAAGAAGGCGCGATATTTTAAATTGAAACTGGAATTAAGCGACTTAAGAGAAGTTGATTTCTGTTATTTCTTCTTCTCTCTTGCGGTATAAAATCCGCATATCGAACATTCAAATACTAAAATCTCTTCTGGATGAGTAAAATAATTATTTTTTAACAGTAACAAATGCATTGTTTCAATTATAAAATTTCAAAAAATATGTTTTTGTTTATTAGAAAAAAAAAATTCCATAAATTAAATCATTCAATTTCTTAAAAGTAATTCAATTTCTTCTACCATTTTTCTTATTGTTTTTTTCTTATAACGGAGGGGAAAAGAAACTCAAACGATTCGAAGAATTTTAGTTATTTAATTTCTATTTTTTATTTTTTTATTTAATTTTTTTTAAATATATAACCTTTAAAAAATACCGCCTTTAACAGAAACAACTTTTCATTAGAGATGACGTAATGTTGTGACGTAGAAACGATACCAGTCACTTCCGGTTCCTGTACTCGTCAGGCGGAAGTCAGACACAAATCACGTGGGATCCCATTTCCGTCTGAGTTCTGGAAACTTGCCAAGTGATGAAACTCATGCTTCACTTTTTTTTCTTCCTTTTATTTTTCAAAAGATAAAAAGAAATTTTCTCGGATTAAATATTCGAAATTGAACTTCTTCCTTACTATTTACTATTTACAGAGAGAGAGAGAGAGAGAGGGANAATGTTTAAAAGGTATAAAAAATATATTGTATTATCGATCGGTTTTATAAGAAGAGAAGTAACGGCGTTTTAAGTGTGAATGGGGTTGCAGGCCCGTTGCAACACTTCAAATTCAGCACGGGTTTGGGTAAAACTCGTAACCTAACCCACTAATGATCACAAATTCCAGTCACAGTCACCAAGAAAGAGGAAACTTTTGCGCATGCCCAGCTCGATCTCATTTCCTCGACGATGCAGAGATTTGAAGTCATTGGGGAGAGACCACTGTTATAAGCCACACGTAGAAGTCTCCAATAATTATCGAGCAAGGGGAAGAAGGTGCTCGCTAAATCTCATTTGGCCTGTAATTAAACGATGTGATAAATGAGGTTGGTGAGGAAAGTTTGGTGAAACAACGCACTTGTCTGATCACTGGACACAGGGAATGCGTCATCATACTCTCTCTCCATTTTCCTCCAACTTTCTTAGTCATTTATTCAGGACAATGATAGCTAATAAGCTTTTAATAAAAATTTTTTACGTTTTTTTCTCAATAAAAATTCGTTTTATTATTTATTTATTTTTCAGATCTCTCGCAAAATTCGGAATCTCGTTGGAACTCCTATACTAACAGTTACTTGCCGACAACAGCGAGTAGCGAATTAAATCCTTCCGTGACGTACGCGTTAAAAACTAGTTTAACCGAAACAACGTCGTTTTCCTATACACCAGGCACGTGATATTAATTTTATTAAAGCATTTACGCATCCTTTAATAAATCTAATTAATAATTACCATTTTATTACAGCTTTTATGGAAACGAGCCCGTCCTACTTTACTGAGTTTGCCACCTCGTCAAGTACGTCTTTAGACAGCTTGAACGTGTCACAAGCGGCGAAACCGTCCACAAATTACGGACAGACTGATTGTTTTACAAACTATACACCAAATTCTCAATACGTCTCGTCTACTCCTCCATCGTATAATCTCTTCCCGTCTCATAATTACCATACTTCATCAAGTTATACAACTTTAACATCGCCGGTTACGTCATCATCCCTCATATATCCTCAATTATATAACCATTCTTCTGTACATCTCTTGGGGACACCCGAAACTGGTGTGACGTCCTCGCAGACTATATCTAGCCCCAATTTATATAATTACGGTATTAATCCGGCGCAAGATAATCCGTCCGATAATTCAGTATGGAGGCCATATTAATAATATAATTAAATACTCATTTTTTTAAATAATCGATTGTATCACCTTTACATATCATAATTATGAAACGTTGAATGTGTTCTTTTATTTTTTAATGAATGTTACATTCGAGTTACGCACAAGTTGACTTAACTCTCCACAGCTTCAACGTGTGTTCGAGTTACAAATGCATTTATATTCATAGAATCTCTTTTTAAAAAGTACGAAATAAATGTTGATTTATGCTTTAATCTTATTGTTTATGGTGTTATATTCATCGAAGTTATCATTGTTTTACTTTCCTGTATGTTAACAAAGGGAAAGTGTGGCCTTCGGTCAAAAAATCACCCGCAAAATTTTACATTTTTAGACCTTAAACGGCCAGAAATACAAAAAAGTTGGATTTTTTCTGTGTATGAATGTTAGTGTGTGTAAGTATGTATGTGAGTGAGGGGCATGATTTTTTTTCACCCATTTTGAAGCTTAATAACTCCTGTGTATTTTGATGAAATTTTCTGAAATTTTGCAGGGAGGTTTGTGTATTAGGGGAAAATGTTTCTAAATATTTTCAGGAAAATCGGGTCATTGGTCCGGGAGATATGGCCCCCACCACCTTAATATCTCCCAGACCAATCTGAAGACTTAAAGGTAACGGTGGTAATTATTAGGGATGAAAACAAATGAAGAAAGTCTAACAACAAAGTTATCATCTTTTTACGTTTTAATTTAACGCTCCTTCTATATAAAGATGCTATTACGGGGTATTAAAACTTCGTCCTTGATCGTTAATACAACAAAATAAGTTGAAACTTCGAAGTTTTAACTAGTTTAAAAAGTTTTCTACCGGGTCGATGTAGAAAACAGGTAAAATCTGCATCGACTCCGACTCTTATGATTAAATGCCACAAGTTTCGTTCATCTTAAGCACTGTTTATTGAGCCACATAGATTTATGGATACCAGATGGGCTGGTAATAAATACCATCTAATTAATACATGGTGAAAGGCTGGACAGAAAGATGGATGGTGGTCGGTGTCTGAGTCGAATGCATACAAGTTTGTCGCTTGCGTCACTTTTTGAGACAGATAGCCAATCAACCTGTCTAATTTGATGACTAAAGGAACCATTTTAGAAGCCTGCACGTTAATATTAACTTGACTTTTACCTTATCATTTCCCCCTTCTCCCTTACAACCGAGCAGGGAGCCGTATCTGCGATTAAATCTAACACCATTTTTTCTTAAAAAAAAAAGAAAAAAAAACTAATGGTAAAATATACATTCACCATAATTCAACCATCCATAAAGGCTAGAAAAAAATTCACTTAATATCATTAATTCATCAGCTTAAACATATACAAGCTAACTAAAGGAGGGTGATACTTTTCTATAAGAGAAAAATTGTGAAAAAAATAATAAATGATAATAAAAATTGAATAATACACATTATGTGAAGGATAAATATTATTTTTTTCTATTAAAAAATTACAAAAATATATACATATATATATTCTATATATAAATTATCTTCGTAAATTATACAGAAGTACATCTATCAAACGAGGTATCAACAAACGTGATGTGTAATTTATAAAGTAAAACAGGAAATTTCAGGCGAGATGCATATCTGACAATCATCCAGATAACCCCACCTAGGCCATCTGTCAACGCTTGTATGCGTGACGTGTATGGTTAAATAGACATCATTAATTTTTAACCTTAAAATAACCAAAGGCCTTATGAGGTTCGCCACTGTTTGATTAGACGATCCGCGATATGATTAAAAAAAAATAACTTAAAAAAATAAAACGGAATTTTCATAATTATATGATATTAACATACAGAAATTTTCATTTTTTATCATTTAAAATTAAAAAAACGAGGCCAAAATTCTATATAAATTAATAAACTTATAAGCTTATAGTATGATGGTTTTATTCAATTTTTTAGTGATTTTTTAAATAATTACTCGAGCTGTCTTTATTTCATCAAAATTCCTTGAAAATTGTAAGAACTGGAGCAGAATTTTCAACCTTTCTTAGTTAGCAATCTTCTTAAAACGTATATTAACAATAAGAATAGCTCGCGATCTACTTGTTGAATCACTCACTGGCTTACTTACTTCGTATTTTTATATATATAAATTTCCAATAAAACTAGAATAAATCAGTGGTGAAATAATTTAAATAAAATTCTCTATTTACGAGTTTTATAAGCTAATGCCTATAATAATTTATATTTTATATAGCTTATATATCAAAGCAAGGACGCCCAGAGTGGGGCCCAAAAAGACCAAATTGTCCTGGATCCGAAGAATTAGGGGCTCTTTTACATTGTTTTATTTTTATTTTTTTCGTTTCCTTTCTTTAATACAATAATTTAATTTTCTGTAGGACCCAAATATATTTTGCTCCAGCGCACAGTTATGTTTTGGAAGACCCGGTATAGAAGGACCCCAAAATTTAGTCTTATACGTAAAAAACAATGCACAAATGGGTATAAATTAAAATTTCGTTCGATAAATGATTTTAAAATCTTCTGTATTTTATTGATTTTATATATTCTCCATGGCTTTTGGAGAGGGATTAGAGTCACGTGTCTCCGAAAGCTATTTGCCTGAATATATATATAGCCTATAAGACTCTGTATATATAGAGCTTATCTCTTCAAGCCCTATCCGAAAGCCAGTATTATACTGTTGTATACGGTTATAGGGCTATATATTAATTATACATAGCTCTATAATCTTATATGAAAAAAGCGTAGGCATACAGTAAGCAGAAAAATGGGTTACTATAAATGGATTTTGATGCTTAATATTATATTTTATGTATCATAATTAAACCGCAATCATCTTCCTAGTAGAAATTGCGATATTTTTCTAAATTTTCGCGTTATGATGACGTTACTAAATGTTAAAATGATATTATTTCCTTTGTAATACACAATTTAATCAGTTTATGGGATAGGCCAACAGGAAAAATGTATAGATATATCATTATTGAGCTTATCTAATGAAGTAAAAATAAAAATTCTTCATTAATTAATTCTAAAATTTATTTTTAATAAATGCATAATGAGATCTGGAATGATTATTTATCATATAGACATTTTTTTTTCCTTTTTCATAAACTGGAAATGCGATTAAATTGATAAGAATAAATGGACTTTTTTGGATGAAATAATGTGATTTTCTCGTGTTAAAGCATCATTAAAATTTATAAGAATATACATTTTAAATAAAAAAAAAATTAAGAATTAGTTTTAGTTTGTAAACGAACCAAAATGGGGTTTTTGTCAATGTAAGAAAGGATAAGAAAGGAGAAAAATTCGGAATATCAATTTGCATAAAACACAGGCGATCGGTATAATTAAGGAACGAGCATAGTTTGACGTCAAGAATTCCGCCCCCCAATTTCATTAAAATGAGAAAGAGCCTGTTGCCATGGTATTTGCAGCAAAACTTTTAATTAGTTGACACCCACCAACGAAGACAAATGTTTCGTATTGGCTGAAATGTCTAAAGATTACAAAAAGAGTAATGAGTCAAGAAGTGCTTCAACACTTCGGGGCCACAACTTGGTGACAACATAATCCATTTTTCCCCCTTTTCATCAGATATAGGAGCGTCCGGGTGAAAAACGGTCTTCCCTATCACGGAGTTCGGTGGTCATCAAAAGTACATTAATGGCGATGATATCCTAGCCATCCAATATGACGTATACCGCACTCTGAGCGAAAATCTCATTACTAGAGCCAAAAGATAAAAATTTAATTATATTTAGAAAAACGGTAGAGGTGTTGTAAACTCATTACTGATTGCCCTTTCGTCTTTGGATGTCCTGAAGTACATTAAAATGCAGAATCACAAATGCCTCTTCAGCTGTCTAAATGACTTGTGTCGAAACCAAATCCGACTTTTCTCTGCAGAAGTATTTTTCACTCAAGTTTGGTAATGGGAAACTGATACCTTTTCTAGTTTCTTTGCCTAAAATTGCTGTCATTTTCGGCACGAATCATTTTAAGTTTCTGCACATTTTTTTCCTCCTTTTCTCTTCCCCCTCCTTTTCTTACTCTTGTATGTTTAGACAACAACGAATTAAAACAAAAAGCCCATGCGATAATATTTTAATAATCGCTCAATTAACTTATAAATAATTAAAATTTTACTTAATTAGGGGGAAAAAACTGACAAAAAATACAACGAGATTGCAATCCTCAATATCCGTGAATCACTTACAACCTAGAAATAAATTAAAAATTGACTTCACGGCGGGTAAAAATTAAAGTAAATATTCATCCATTTGTCTCATATTAAACATAATTTACGTATAATTATGTTAATTAACCGTTATTATGCAACTCTATTACTTTACAACAGTGGTTCTCAACCGAGCACACTTAGACCACACCACAACTCTTCGTGGGGGGCCACAAAATTTCAAAAAAAATCATTTAAAAATGGCAAATTTTTGTCTTATTTTTAATATAAAAAATTGCAGATCTTCAATGGTACTTCCATCCAGTGTTACATCAAAGATCTTCTTGTAAGCAAATCTTTTGATGGATGTGCCACTAAAAATTATGTATGCCACTAACTCGAAGAGAGTGAAAATCATTAATTTATAAAATGTTTATTGATAGAAATTCAGCCGATCATCCTCTTACATTAAGCAATAACATGAGTCACATAAGCAATATATTACGGAAGAAATTAAGTATCAGTGGCATGATTAGCCTATAATATAACAAAACTCAAAAGATATTAATTTATATATTAAGGAAATCAATTTAAAAATGAAAATGGGACATTTATAATTGTTAACATATTTTAAAAAATGGCGTAGAAGACTATCGATTACATGAACATAGATATAAAGTTTTTGTACAGGAAATTCGTCAGTTTATAAATCAACATGAATAGCCTACACTTTTATGAAAGAGTTTTGTTTATGTTATTGATAAAACGGTTTCATTCGCTTATGTCATACGTCGAAATGTCAAGAAATTTTAACGATAAAATCTGAGAGGACGACCCTTTCAACAGTTCATCTTAAGTTGTAACATCAATAAACATTGAGCAACAACTCACAAATTGCGGATGATTATGTACTCATTTTAAAATAAAAATTAAGAATTTTAACTAATTAAAAGTGATAAATATATTAATTTATCCACATTTAATACAGAAAAATTTCTTTACGTCGTAATCATGGCTATAGAGAGCTCTTTTGCCATTTTTCTGGAATAAATAAAATACATAGAATAATTCTTTTTAAAATATTTTATTTTTTTCTTAGTAAAAATAACACTAATTTATAGGTTTAGGAACCACTACAGACCCTCATCTTTTCTCCAAGCCCGGGGAAAAATCTTCAGCTACCGCCTTCGACCACCCTGTTCCTAATTATTACAAATGGTTAACTGACTTTTACACCACTCTCTATACACATTTCATTAAAACTTACCATTAAATTCATCCGTTTTCATGGAAAATGTAATCATTTTTATTCATTATATTTACGATAAAAATGATAAATTATATCACTCATCCAAAAGTCAGTTAACCTTTGAATAAAAATTTACAGCATCCTAATACATTACTGCAAACATTAATAACTACAGTATATCGTTTGGTTAACCGACTTTTGGACCACCCCTTATATATAGTAATATCCTTTAACGTTACGTTATATGAATAAAAAAATGGGAAATGCTACTTAGAATTTCCTAATTTAATATCTCAGCGATTAATTATGCAATTAATCAAAATTCTTGTAAATAATGTAAACTATTATAAAGGAGGGGGAGGAAATGCATAAATAACGAGTAGAATATCGAAATTGTTAAAAATACGTAATTTTTAATCTTTTTTCTATAAATTACGGCTAATTTCTTGTTGATTTTTATTTAATTTTTATCATTAATCAGTCGTTAAATTCGACAAGGATACATATTTTAAGGTCTTCTTTGGAAGGTTGTTTAATGGAGAAATCTTAAAAGGGGACTGGGAAGAGGGAGAGAAGAAATTTAAAGGAAGAAAAAAATGACTTAGTAGAATCTTAGTATGATAATAAAGAGGGGAGGAAAAGCAAGAAAACTACTTCTTAACATATATAAAAAATAAGATTTATTGATAGAGAAACTTAATGATAGTTCGTTAACCTCTCAAGACATTCGAAGTAATTTATTCATTCCCATTTTGTGGTATTAGTGCATAAATTGAAACTTAGAGAATTATTTTAAAGCGTTTAAACGTTTTCGACATTTTTGAAAATTTCCTACGTAAAATTAATTAACGTCAATTTTCTATTTTAAATAAATAAAATATATTTTTTCGTCTTTAAAATATTTAATTTAATTGACAAAACCGATTCATTCTTCGTTACGAAGTATTAAGCGGTAATTTGAATTACACTTTGCCGGTGTGGTTATATATAAGAGCATTTAATTTAAAATATTTTAAAAAATGAAATAAAATAATTAAAGTTTTAAGTTAATTTTATTATTTTCTAAATAAGTTTTTAAATAATCAATCAATCAAAGCTTTATTGTACTAAGGAAAAAAGTCCTTGTTACGGGGGGTTATTTTATACGTGAAAAAAAAAAACGTAGTAGTTTGACATCTTATGTTGTTTTTTTACATCTTATGTTTTTTTAAAAAAAAACAAATAATTTTAACAGAGATAAAAAAATACATAAAAAAAGTTATAGTTGCATAACATTAGCTAAATATTAATTCATGATATCATTATCAAATATATTAGTAATCTGGATGAAAAAGTTATTTAGTTTATACATATTATTTTTTAATAAATCTCCAATTCTTAAGTTTTCAAGTAATTATGTTTTAAAAATTAATTGATTGTATTTATTATTATTATTTTTTAAATGTATTTTAAATGTTTCATAAAAGCATATTTTGTGCTGCCATCTAGTGACTGTAATTATTATAATTCTTCTTAATAAACAATTTTATTGCAGCTCTATTTTAATAAAACAATTAAAAAAATAATAACAATTGCTAATTGTTAATAAAAATTTGTGTGGTAAGTTTAGTTTAATTTTTATAAATTTGTGCGTTTTAAATTATAAGTAATTTACAAAATAATAATAATAAAGTATATTTAACATTTTTATAAAATGATTTCCTCGATTTTAAGCAAATTTAATGTAAAAATATCGGTTTTTATAGAATTAAAAATTAATGATGGAGTTTGATCATACCACGTGACATCATTAATCTCCATTACAGACGTGCTGCCATCTGACGTTTATGTGACAAAATATTATTAAATAAACGTAAATAAATATTTAATAAAATGTCTTACGCAATGTTTATAGGTTTGTAAGTGAATATGACGTCTCCAAGGCAATGTGTGACTCGTTTGACCAATTTACCCAAAGGACAGGGTCACTGCAATTTCGTTGCTGTACATAGTTTGAATAACGGTAAATGCCTCGCTCAAGATCCCCTATTAAATACGTCAGTAAGTGTCATGCGTCATTAAAACGTGATTTTTCAAATTAAAACGATCTTTTAAGATAGTAGCTATATTGATAAGAATACGGTCTAACAGATGGCGCCACATACTTCCTAAAATCTTTTTTACAATTTAATTACTATTATTATTACAATTTGTATCCAAATCGTTCTTTAAAAGTTAAATTAATTACGTATTTAATTATATTTTAAAATAAATAATTAATTACAATTAAAAAAATAATAATAATAAAATTAATTTGCGAGCGCCATCTATTATCGTTTAAGAACAACTGCTTTATACAATAAAACTTTTTTTTAAAGGTGACTCCGGCAGAAATTAATATCATTAAACATGGATTTGAATCAATAAATAGTTTATTCACAACTGGTATATCGTTAGCGGGCAGTAGATTTATTTTTCTGACAAAAGTGGATAATGTTTTGTATGGAAAGAAGCGTGACTTGGGGTGCATTATCAAGAAATGTCAAGAATCTGACTGTAAGAAAACTCCAAGTACATACGTATTTAAAATTAAACGGCTTATTAAACTGCTAATTTCTTATATTTACAGCGGTTTTAATTGTTATTCATTCGTGTAAAGAAGAAAAGTCTGACATCTTAATGGAAATGTCGAAAATTTTCAAAAGTTGCGAAGAAACTGGGATTTGTTAATTAATTTTAATGATTAAAATATTAAAAATTTTTCTTGGAAAATTGTCCAAAAATTGTTCAAAAGAAATATTTTTCGAGTTATTCTATGTATTACTATTAATAAAAATTGTTTATAAAGCTCCACAGCAACATTACACGATTATATAAGTTAACTGATCTCTGTTCAAAAGTTCAAAATGCACGACTTCTCACCTTTATTTTAAAAATAACCGAAAATATTTTTGAAATTTCGATAAATAAACGTCTTTAAAATGTTAAATCAATTATAATTAACAGAAGCGCTTTATCCATTATTTAAATTCGAATTAAAAATAATCATCTAATTAATAAAAATTTATAGGAAAAAAACATAAAAATCAATAGCACAAATAATTTTATAAAGCTGTTGGTAATTTGTATTTATAATATATTAAAATATAAATAAAATTATTTAATGATTTTATGGATCAACAGAGGACAGC